AACCAGATTGCTCTTCCTCAGAAAACTAGACCTAAACTTTTTTTAATTCAGGTTGACAGTTTCCTTATGACTACAGTTTTATTCCACTACATTGTCTCTAAAAAATCATTGAAAGTAAATATTAAATTATACATCAATCTTTGTTAGCCTGCTTTGAAGTTTCTTCATGTTTTTTTCTTTTCTTATCAACAGTATAATTTAAATAATAAATAATATTTAAGGCTTCTCTGGCTAGTGGGAAGCTTTGGAATAACATTCCTCTCTTCACACATGGAAATTTCAAATATGTAAGCTCAAACATCAGCTCTTCTGTGAAGCCTGTCTAGATAGTGTATTACATTCTCTTTGATCCCTCAATACTTTGATTGTAGCTCAGACCTGTAAGTTTCCATTACAGTAGAATATTGCTTACATGTTGACACTGCTAAAGGTGACTATAAGTGGGTCGTGGTGTCTTGCTCCTTTCTCTACCTTTCTAGGTGCCCAGAAGTACCCAATGTCTGGGCAGAATGAGTTAGCACTAAACTGAACTGAGGATGTGAGTAAAACACCCAGCAATTACCATGATGGGAGAAAACTGGTAAGAAAATATATATTTCCAGGAAGCAGAACCTATCCTCAGTGTAACCAGGTACAAATTTTGCACACATACAATGCATAAATAGACCCTTTCAATCAAAATGAAAAATGTAATGGTGTCCATTACAGTAGTATTTTACAGACCCAAAATTCCTTGTCTGAAACCTTTGGTCAGATGTCAGAATCTAGACTACCTTAGAGTGTGGAAAGCTAATCACCTTACATAACACCCCTATCAGGGTGTGGGCACCATCTATGAAATCAATGCATGAGTGAATCTTCTGGGAAACATATGACTCATCACATAATGCCATAGAAATGAAGACATAAATAGCCTTGTGTAGATTTAGATTAAGTTTTGCTGCCAATAAGTTTCAAAAAGCTTAAGGTTTTGAAGTAAAGACTTGTGGATAGGCCTCTATTACTAATAACTATCTACTATTAATTAGTAATTATCTATTACTAATAGTTCTATTACTAATACCAAATACACAAAAGACTTGATTGCTATGAGAGATAATCTTTCTCTAACCCATTCAGTATTTATCAAAATCAAATATCAAATCTTTATTGTGAAAACATTTAACAAATTTTAAACAGTATAAGATAACGTGTGATGAGCCTTTGTTTCTATAAATACTGAAAAAGTATTTTTTAATTAGAAGTTTATCTTGATTTGGGGATGACAGTGCACAATGTATATGCCCTGATTGATGTACTTGAAAAGTTTGCTGTACTTTTCTGCTTCTTCTGCTGCTGCTTCTTGTTTCTTTTTATCTATGAATAAAATGAACTTTAAAAAATAAAAAATTTTTAAAAATTTAAAGTTTACTTTAAATATTTTTTTAAAGTTTGTTAACAAAGTATTGATAAACATATTAGATCCAAATAAGAATGTCTGTTATAGCTTGTATCTAAATGTTCCCCCAAGGCCTCATTCTCTCATAGGGGGTTTTCAGAGGCAGCTAGATGAGAGGTGAGTGACTAAAGATTAAGAGTGTGATAACTAAATTAGTCCACGGCTTATTTTAGCACAGCTCTGGGTGTGAATAATAAGAAGCCTGGTGTGGGGCACTGACCAATACACTTGTAGCCTGAATGGAAAAAAAGGGAAAGGAAGGTTTGATGCTGCTGCTGTGTTCTGATTGCTCTGCTACAGACTTTTTTCTCCTGCCATGCCGCTCGCTCTGCCTTAGAGCCAGCCAATTATAGACTGAAACCTTTACAAACTGTGAGACAAAATAAACCTTCCCTTCTTTAACTTGTGTGTGTCAGGTATTTGATTGCACCAAAGTGAAATTAACTAAGATATTATCCGATAAGAAATGTGATACTCCTTTTTCAGGCAGATGTGGATTGAGGTCTGCCTGAGTTAGATCCTAAAACACAGATTCTTAGCATAGCATAAAATCACTTCTCAGGTTGCCATGCAATACATTGTCACAAACTATACAAGTCTTTCTTAGGTCACCAAAGGAGTGCTCTGTGATAAGTTTTTGAACTGATCACAAACACACACACATATTTACCTGTGCTTTGTCATAAGAACATATTGAGCAAGAAATGAATCTGAGTGTTACGAATGAGGTGCTTCCAGAAATCTATTTCAAACACACACCATCCTGACCACATTCCCTTATTTATCCCACCCATGACAGCAATGTTGGCATCAAGCATTTCTTTAGTAAAAAGCACAATTATCCCCAAGAATTCCAGAAAGACTTCAATTTAAAAAAAAAAAAAAACTCATGCACATTTTGATTTCTCCTGTCATATTCTTTTAGGACCCATATTTGGAGAGCCAGGCTAATTAGTAGGACTTCTTTCTAAAAGCCCTACTCTATGAAATGTGGCTTTTCAGAGTTCTCTAGGGAATGAGTGTGCGTGGCCATGGTTTTAGAATGAATGCAGCTTTCACAGTCATTTCTCTATGAAAATCTGCAAATGGCTAAACTAGCTCAGGATTAAGATTTGGAAAGCCTTTGGCAAGCAACACCTCTGAATATATAATTTGTAAAAAACATCTAGTAGTTCCCATTTATGCGCAGGGGATGTGTTCCGACACCCCCAGTTGGTGCCTGAAACTGTGGATAATGCCAAGCCCTATCCTTGTCCATCTATTCATACTGTAGATCTTACTGACTTTAGTACATAATTCTTTTCTCTTATTAAATAGTCAAGAACTTTTATCTTTTCACTTAAAGGAAGCACTTTGTGACTTTTCTTGGGCATATGTGAATTGCCAGCATTGGTAACCTTGCACTTCGGGCTATCATTATATAAAACAAGGGTTACTTGAGGACAAGCTCTGTGACAGTGGGTCTGATGAGTGGATGAGACACGTGTCCTATGGGGTGGGATCCTGGTGACCAGAGCAGGATTATGTGAGATTTCTTTGCACTATGCAAAATGGCATGCAATTTAAAACAAATGACTTGTTTATTTCTGGAATTGTCCAGTTACTCTTTTCAGACCATGGTTGACTGTAGGTAACTGAAACAAGGGGAAGCAAAACTGAGTAAGGAAGGACTTTTGTGTATACATCTCTGTCACCAAAGGTGAGATCATGAGTACACATTTTTCCATTAATTCGAAGATCTTTGATGATAAAATATCCAGGTCATTGCAGAAATTCAATAAATATTTGCTCCCTTGACTTAATTTTGACTGGCTTTTATATTAGAAAACTCACTGATGTCTTCTTAGAATAAGAATCATTCTAATTTAAATCCTAACAGGAAAAAAAAACACGCAGTCGATTTGGATGGGAACAGATTCTAGGTAGCAAAGCCCTCCATGGAAACCTCCCTATGAACTGTCTAATTGGGAACTGTCAGGAGCGCAGTCTAGGGAATGATCTGGCAGCCATGTACACTGTGGAAGTTAACATGGAGCAGATGAAGACACCATCCATACTGGCTGTCATGTGGAGGAAATCTTGAGGAACCCCACACTGCAGACCAGGGTCCCCCATGGGTGAGGCGCTTGTAGGCTTTCAGGTCCCTGGGGCAGTACAAGACTATACCTTCAAAGGGGAGAACCCTGGACTGATCTTTCCAGCAAAACTCTGAAAGTGGCTTTTGAACTAAGAAATAGCAGGGAAAAAAACACCAGGATTTTTTTTGGTTTTTGGTTATTTTTTCCCTTTCTAACTTCCAGTATGAGGACTCAGTTTCCAAGTACAAGTGAGATGAAATCCTAACAGCAAAATCCAGCACAGTCAGGGCACTGGTGGGACTGTTGGTGCAGTGCCCAACCTTCCACTCAGGTTGCTGTGGCCTTGTGCCTGTAGGATTTGCTCCTGAGTTTATCCTTTAGAGGGAGCACATGCTAAGCAGGAGCTTCTCCTAGTCTTCCTAGCTGGTCCTTGTTTCCCCTGGAGGCACCACAGTGAGCCAGGCACAGCCTTCCTCTGCTCCAGGACTCCCTGAACTCTGGGTGGTAACAGTCTGGGCCTGAAGCATTTGCAGTTGTTGATCTTATAATTGAAATATAAAAGGGGCTCACAGTTGTCAGGCATGGATTTAACAGGGTGTCTCTGTTTCAATATTGTGAGCTGCCGTGACTTTGCAACTGTGTTGTGTATTTACAGGCAGCCTTGGAAGGAAAGGGAAGGGAAGGGAAGGAAGCAAATAAAGAAATCCCTTGGAACCCCCTGTAGGGTCTGGGCCCCCAGGGCAGAAGCATATGCTGGCCGAGGATCTAAATAAAATAATGTTACTAAGCCAGCAAAGACTGTAGTTTTGCAGGCTGGGGTAGACTACATAATAATTTGATTCATGGCTTTCCTGAGTCAAATTCTGAGAAGAGTATACTAATATTTTTTGCTATTATTGTGCAGAAAGGCTTGTCCCCTTCTATCTTCACTAGAGATTCAAACCTAAACTTAAGACTTGACCTCTGTGTAATGTTTTGGTTTTCCCTCAGTGTTTAAGTATGAATGATGCCACTTACCTTCTTTTATTTGTATTTTTAAGGTGACCACTTGCTCTGATTTCTCCTTCTGACCCCTCTTTGCCTCTTCGTCTCTTTGTTTAGACTGTGGTTAAATGGAAGAAGAGATCACTTGGCCCACCATAGTCAGAACCAGTACGTTTGAACTTATGGACTTCATCTTATTTCATGCTTTCTGTGTTTTATTCATTCCTGCCCTTTTCATGGCCCTCTTTATTTTGCTGACTTTATAAAACAAGTGTTTTCCTCTTACCATTTTAAATGCTATTATTTTAACATTGAGAGTGACTTAAAAAATAACAACAAAGTAATGTATAGATTTTTAACTCCTTACTATGAGCATCATTTATGAAAAATTCTTTTATGGCCCATTTGGTCTGTTCTTTATTGTTTAAAAACTGTAACTTTTAGAGAAGACATTACAGGGCATTTCTTGTCAAAGAAGGCACTTAGTACCAACTGTAGGCTTTTGGGATCATCAGTTGACATCTGTTTCATCCTCATTTTCTCACTGAAAAATGAAGACAATGTAACAGTGTATTTCCTCAGACTCCTGAGCAGATGCAAGAAACAATACATGTACCCACTCAGCCCAGGATCTAGTAGCCAGTTCATGTTGGTTGTTACTTTATCATGGGAATATTAGTTCAGAAAGTCTACCCCTGCTAAGTAGCCGCACCTTTCTTAACACATTTTGTGTTTCTTTTCTAAACAAAGGGTATTGAACTGTAACAAGGACACCTGATGTGATGGTTGATTGTGTCAACTCTGGTAAGAGAAGCTCAACTAAACTGGCTCAGCAATTCCATACCCTGGATGTGGAAGACCCACTCTAGGATAGCCTGTCACTTGGATGGCATAAAGGGGAAATGAGGAAGAGATCTGCTTCTATTTCTTCAGGAGAGCCCCCAGTCTTCACCTTCCCCTTGGATGTCATCTCCTGGCTTCTAGTATGGACTCTTCAGCTTCTAGGGCAGACCCTTCAGCCTGATTCGAACTCGTGCATGAGTCCAGTGTGCAGACACCCTTTGCACACTTGCTTATCTGACTTGGTGTGTAGCCCTTATTAGCCAATCTTTTAAGTTCTTATATATTTGTATGTCTTGTATTATATCTGCTTCTTCAGCAGACACTGACAGATACACTTGGTTAACTAAACCATTACATTTTTAGGAACACTTTCAGTGAACTGAAGAAAGGTGTCTTTGGCTACCTGTGACTGTGAGTGTGCCTGAGGAGGAGATGACAAGTCCCCCAGCTGCTCTAATTAAAATCTCAAACCCCACTGACACTTCTGCCCACAGTGACTCAGCTGTTTCCTCCCCATAAAGCTTGTTCTGGGGTTCCCTTTTCTTTTCATGTTGACAAAAGTCTCCTGGCCTTGTATTTCCTCTCCGGAGGAAAGCGCTAACTGGTTTCTCCATCCTGGTAAGCTTTCAAGCAAAAAGACTCAGCAGCCAGTTGTGCCTCTAAATTTTCACATCACCTCATGGCACTGCCTTCAGGGCCTCCCTTTCCTCTTCACCGAGGAATTTTACACCCTTTAATAAATGATTGAGTTCTTTTGCCAGCCCCATCAGAAAGCTTTGACTAAGCCTGAGCACTTAGCTCAGATCTACAGATCTAACTCCAGTTTATGTAACCCCTGCCCATTGTGAACCTAGTATGTCAGGAACTGGGGGGCTACAAACATGAGAACTTGGAAATGGCACAGATTTATAATTGACTTTAACAGGAAGTGTTATGAGTAACCAGAACCAGTGGGAAAAAAAATAAACACAGAAGATGTACACAATGACACTTCCTCTTTAAGAACTTTCCATCTCAAATGAACTGCATGGAAGAGGATATTTAAAAATGGACACATACATAGTAATAGGACCATTTGTGCAACATACACTGTGTCCCACATCTGTGGTTTCAAGCAACCTCAGATCAAAACTATTCATACCAAAAAAAGTAACTGTACAGATGATTTTATTCCTGAATAATGCACTCTGACAATTATTTCCCCCAGCACTTTCATTGTATTAGATATCCCAAGTCATTTAAAGATTATTTATTTGAAGGACACAGGAAACTGTCTGTAGCTTCTACGTAAATACAATGCCATTTTATATAAGGGGCTTTGGCACCTGTAGACTTGATATCTGAGGTGGGAATCTAAGGACACTGAGGAACTCTGAGGAAACTGAACACGCTCCTGCATGCCACTCGAGCAACAACACTGAAGACTCCGAGATAGCACTTCATATACACCAGGTCCTGCAGGTCCTTCAATATATTAACTGGTATCAAAGAAACCTCAAAAGGTTGATAATATCATTCTACCATTTTAAAGATAAGGAAACTAAGCTACTTACCCAGTCTCTCACAACTAGCAAGTGGCAGAGCCAGATTTAGAAATTCAGAACCCCGGCTCATGGGTATCCATTTTACTTTTCTACACCAGATTTTATCTGGCTTCAACCTCACCAAGGCAGATAGAGCTTCAGATTCAGTGATTATTAAGGGGCTGGCGATTTATCTCAGCGGCATAAGCACCTGCCTTGCAAGTAGGCAGTCATGAGTTCGATCCCTGGTACCAATAAAAACGAAAAAAAAAAAAAAACAAATTCAGTGATTATAGAGGGGTCCTGAGCTTCTGGTCTCACAAGAATCTAAAAATATGGAGAATGGATTGATTTTCAGTTCACTCTGGTCATATTTGGAAAGAGATGTGTTTCAGCAAGCTGACTCCAACACATCACTGGCTTTCAATCCATTCCTCAAAACCTTTGTCTCTCTCCCCAATCCCAAGCTGCTACGCCCACCTTCTAATGAGAGAGCACCGCACTTGACCATGACAGACCACCCTCCCACACTTCATCTGCCTTGCGGGGTGACAAACTCTTTCTTCCTAGGGCCCCAGAAGTCCTTCTACTTCCTAGGGCCCCAGAGCCCTCCCTTGGGCTCTTTCCCCTCTAAAAATATTCAGATGTTGGCCTTAGGAATAAAAGCTGCTTAACTCCAAGGGAAGGATAAAAGCTCATTCCTACCAGATGAATAAGCAGGTTAATTTCTCATCGCTTCCCAAATACTCTTGGATGTGAAGACAATTTCATCTTTGCTTTTGCAGTGTTCCTACAAAATGTCTCCTTAGATATAGAAACTATATTTGCACTAAATTTCAAATTAAGGATTTCCTTATGAGTCACATATTTGAAATCATGTAAGCAGTTTTTTGAGTTAGTGTAGGAAGCGGGGGGGAGACTGCCAGGAAGCCCTCAGCCACCGAGGTGGACGCCTGACCCTGTAATGTTGCCTTGTCTATATAATTTGCTGCATGGTACATCGTACAGAACATGCCAACCTTTTTCCGCCTGTTCAAAAAAGGTGATGCTAATTAGATCAGGCAAATAGCTGCTGTTGTTGATTCATTTGAAAATGATTATTCCAAGGCAGTGCGTTATTACCCAGCAAGTCACAGCTTTCCTTATTAGTGCTGTGAGGTGGCTGCCAGACTTCAAAGTCGGAGGTGGAATTCAAGGCTAGCAGTGCTTGCAGGGGCAATATTAGACACAAGGTCACTATTTACATTTAGAAATTTAATCCCTTCTGGTGGGTATGGACTCTGATATCAGTTCAGTGCCAATAACCATCAGATGGGGACACTTGCCATATGCAAAATGTAATATAAGGAATTATGGAAAAACGAGAAATTGGAGCCTGGCTATCGAGGTTCTTGCTTTCCAATGAAAGAGCTTGTTGATCCAAGTGATTATGCAGAATGTTGCAGTGTTGCAATTAAATAATAAGCATAAAATACATCGGTAAAATGGCAAACTTTCTACATGCTGATTATTCAGTATATTAGATGTGTAAATCGTGTGTTATGGGAATACGCAGAATGTAAGGATTTATTTTGCAGAAGATACATTTTGGCAAAAGAGCTTCATGAAAAAAGGAACATTTTGAGCTTCATTAGAAGTGTGAGTGAAGTTTTTGAAGATAATAAAGCATGAATAAGAGCCTCAAACTAGCAGCACTGAAGGTGTGTTCTGTGGTCCAGTCTGGACACTAGAGACAAAAAAAAACGTAGTGTGAACTTTGAAACATAATTTGACGGTGGCGGGGGCTTACATCTGAAAATAGAGAATCTTGATCTTCTCGCTACTAAAATACATGATGATCTAGAATATAACTGCTTCTCAGAAAAGACTGCATATAAAATCAGCCACAGATAGGCAAACTATATCATTATTGAGTTTGAGCTGAAAAAAAATCTGTGGCAATGTATTTTTCTTTGAAGGTTGTGTTTCCAGAGACATAAATTGTAGATAAAAATTGGCCCATTATAATCCAATAACACTGAAACAGATTTTCATTGCTACCAAGCACAGAACATGTTTTCTGTTTTTGTCTTCTGTTTAAATTCTCCTTCCTCCTTGTGAAACTGTTAATATGCTGAAGCACAGCATTTAGCCCACCTCCAAACCTTTAAAATGCAGTTAATTACAAGATAGTCCAATTTAAACTTTACGACATTCTTGATACCAGAACACAAAGCGGCTGTTTCTGTTAATCAGTAGGAGGAAGCCCAGCAGCGCAGAGCCTGCCTCAGCCCGGGGAAGAGCACTGCTCTTCTGATCACAGGTGGCTCCTAATCCCACTTCTGCCTCCCCGCTGGCTGGAGACAGATTACTTGACTCCTTCCTCTATGTGCAGGAGATTTGTCTCCCATTGCCTTCCCCCTCAAAGCTTCTGGGCAGCTGCAGGAGAAAAGGTGTGAGGTGTGGGAAGTCTGAAAGCACATGCTGAGAATGTACAAACGACACCATATCGACCAAGTCACTTACAGAGTTCAGCTCTTGGGGTCGCACACCCAGAGAAATGGGTCCACAGACATGAAGGCCAATAGCAAGGACTGCCTGGGTAAGAAACAGCTTCCTTTTCAAACTAGAAGGGCAATATTTTCTTCTCCCTGGTGCTCACCACAGAAATAGCATTTCAGAGAAAGAAGGGAAAAGCAAAAATAAATAAATGTATATACACACAAAACAGTTAAGATGGTTATACTACCAATTGCTATATTATTAATTGTTCATTGAAAAAAGTTCATTTGTGCCTATGTTGTTTGATGCCTATATCTTGTAATACAAACACCTACTTTGAAAATAATGATACACAATGTACTAACCTTTGCTACTCTCCTACAATCTTATTTTGCAATTTTGTACTATTTTTTTCTTGAAAATAAAAAAAATTTTAAATGAAATGGCATTTCAGAAGTCCCAGTGGAATGCATCCTGCGTACATTTCCCATTTTTTGCATCACCCAGTTGTATCCCATTAGATATTGTAATTCTACCCCTGTAGCCAGATTATTTACCTTGGAATGGCATTCTTGAAGCTCGAAACACTTGGAGAATACAGAGATGATATTTTGAATGAAAACAAAAGACTATAAATAATTCCTTATATCTTTTGAATTGACCATTATCTTTATAAACTTGAAGTTCATAGTTTCTTTCTTTCTCTTTCTTTCTTTCTTTCTTTCTTTCTTTCTTTCTTTCTTTCTTTCTTCCTTCCTTCCTTCCTTCCTTTCTTTCTTTCTTTCTTTCCTTCCTTCCTTCCTTCCTTCCTTCCTTCTTTCCTTCTTTCTTTCTTTCTTTTACTGTACTGGCAATTAAGCCCAATGTTCCTGAGTGCTAGGCAAGTGCTGTCCCCCTAAGCCGCAGCTCTACCCCTATCCAGCGGCTTTACCATATGTAAGACTCTTATCTGGATGGGAGGTACATGCATGCTGCCACCTTTCTGTGTTTTTCAAGAAATTTCATAATTCAATAAAAAATGTATTTATTGCCCAGAAATGTATCTTCAAAATTTCAAGAGTCAAAGTCAGCTGCCTGCATAATAGAAATTCTTGTTATAAGAAGCCTCTCAGCAGAGAAAGAGGAAACATGGTTCAAAATTGAAGCATCTATATTGGGCAGCGCCTCCTGAAGTGAATATAATGGGGAGATACTGTAATATACAGGTGTGTGTGTGTGTGTGTGTGTGTGTGTGTGTGTGTGTGTGCTTTCTCTGTTGCTTCTCTGAGTTCATGATCTTTTTTCCAATCAGCTGGTGATATCGTCTTTTCCAGAAGGAGAACAGGCCTGGTATGCAGGATTGTGAGGGCAAAAAAATTCAATCTCTAACATTCAGCATAGGACTTTGGAGCAAGATAACAATCATATGAGCCTGGCAATCACTTTGAGAGAGGCTTTTCCTCATTCCCCTAATTCTGTCTTTAACATAAACAGAAATAAGGCTGGAGAACTCGGAGTATGGAGTTATCCATCTTGCAGAGAAAACCTGTGACTGCCAGGCCTGAGCCTGGCTGTCCCATGATGGGAGGATTTGACGTAGGAAAAATAAAGCAAAACTGCTTTTTGCTTGGTGGAGGAAAAAGGTGGAGGAGACAGGAAGAAGGTAAAGAGGAGAAAAGTTCAGGAAAGGGCTCTGCCCACCCCACCCCCACCCCCAGGCTCTGGACCCCAGTGCAGATCCCCATGTCAGGAGGGAAGTGGCAGCCTTGCGGAACTCTTTAGCAAGAAAGAGGCCAAGTGTATATCTTCCTGGAGACCCTGACACCTCAGGGAAAGGAAGAGACCTCAGTGCTCTCCTCTGCCTCATAAAGGAACACAGCAGCTTCCTGCAGGGGTGGCTGGTGCACCTGCCAGAGGGGCTCCTGGACAGGAGCCTGTCTTCGTCACCAGGGCACTGGGCAAAGGACGGTGATAGCTGCATGAAAGGTAAGATTCCCAGCTAAATTGAAATTTCAGGTCAGTCATTTTCCTTACAATATTCTAACATAATAAAATAGTTCTTCATTGTTTATCTGAAATTCAGATTTAAGTAGATGTCCTGAATTTTTATTTACTACCGGATTCTATTACCGCAATCTGAACCCTTGAACATAGGCCCTGTATTACTGTAGGCAACCCAACCTTAGCCTCACCAATAGCTGCCACCACACTCAGGGGTCATGAAAGATAGAGTGAAGGAGAGCTGGGGTCAGCAGTCAGGGCACCACCATGCGCATCAAGCCAGAACATCAACGGACCACAACTGACAGACATTAAGGCCTCACCTCCCAGTGCCAGTAGAATGACCACTGACCAAGCAGAAATAGAGGGTTCAGAAAGGCCAAACCAGGGGTCAGGGTAAGGACACCAGGTAGATCTCAGTATCTGTTTTCCCCAATGCCCTGAAGTCACGCAGAGCCCATACATCTAAAAGTCACTGCAAGAACAGAAGCAAAGATGGGGATGCTTCTGTAAGAGTCTTTAGTTCATCTGTGCTGCTAAAACAAAATTCTTTCATTTCCCTATAAAGAAGAGAACTTTGATGTTAACTTTAAGTCCTGGATACTGATGTCCCAGGTCAAAGCTCTGGCAAATTCAGTGTCTGATGGCCTGGATTCTATTACCAAGATGGTACCTTGTTGCTGGGTGAAGGGGGCACAAGGGTAAAAAAGGCCCTCACTAGTTCCTTCCAGCCTCTTATAAAGTTGCTGACGCATCCCTTATGGCTTAATCACATCCTAAAAGCCTCTTAGTGATATCACATCGGAGTTTGCATTCCAACATATAAATTTTTGGAAGGATACATGCAAACCATAGCAGAAAGATAGAGCAATTTATTTGCAAATTATTGTAGCAGACTTAGCTTTAAACTGCAATGAACTGAAAAAAAAATTTTTCCTGGATAGTCTGAGCAGGTGTTCATGGAGAAAAGAAATCACTTGTAAAGCCAAATTTAAAAAGTACATTTTTTCCATTCATCTGAGTTGCAATATGGCCCAAGCTGGGCTTCCCCATTTCATACCCATATGCAATAACTTTCCAAAAAGACAGAAATCCCAAGACTTCCACTAGTACAATCACACCCTCACTTTTCATTCTTATGCCTCCTTAGTCCCAATAGTTTTTAAACTCATGTTTCTGACCCTGTGGCTACGAGTGGTATGATTTATCCCGGCTACCCAATCTAAACCCTTGAAAATAGGCACAATATTACTCCAGAAACCCCCACATTTACACAGGATCCAAGTGTAAACCAGAATGGCCCCTTGTAACTCCCCAATGCTGTGGGCACAGAAAGGTCCCCAGCATGCCAAATTCTGCACCCGCCAGCACAGTGTGAGCAGCTTGCTGCCCCTGTGCCTTGGAGAAGGTCCAAGTCTCTGTGCCTTCCTCCCAAATAATGAGAACACAATTAGCATAAGCTAGAACAGATTAATACAGGGCTGTAGAGAGGGCTAAATACAGTACACATCTTTTAGAAATAACCACAAACATTTGGGATATTTTAAAATTCTCTAAGTTTCAAATCCTCCAAGTGTCAGAAGCTCAATGTTTAAAGGGCTTACCAACCTAACTATGCACTTTCTACCTGGCAAAGGCATCTGCTGCCCAGCTTCAGGTCAACAGGCCACTGACACTCAGCCCCTCCAGAATTGGCGATCACATTACCCAGAGGGACAGCTGCCAACCCACCCGGTAAACGCTGTCAGGAGGGACACATGGCAGTGGGTAGAAGAAGCTTCACAAGTTCTGATTAGCAAAGTTCCTTTTCCCCCAGAATATTGTATGACCCAATTAATTTTTCACTATCCAAGTTATACGTTGATTTTGATCATCAGAGCACACTCACCGAAGACAAGACATGAAAACCTAGAGACTCAGTGGGTTAGAAGATGTCAGTGACACCCAGATGTGGTTGTGCATACCTGTAACTCCAGCACCTTGGGAAGCTGAGGCAGGAGGATGGCAAGATTGAGCCCAGCCTGGGCAATTTAGTGAGACTCTATCTCAAAATAATAATAACAAAATTAAAAGGACTGAAATGTAGCTCAGGGTGAGAGCCTGCGCTCAGTCCCTGTCTGTCTGTCTGTCTCTCTTTCTCTATCAGGCACACACACACACACACACACACACACACACACACACAGTCTGACTCTCTCTTTCTCTATCAGACACACACACACACACACACATATGCACACACACAAAGAGATGTCACTGACAGATGGATGCTGTTCACCGCAGTTTGCAGCAGCCAGGTCTCGGCTGAGGTTACTCCGTACATTAAAATGTAAATGAAATTCTCTCTAGCTTTCTATTCCACATCCTGTGGAAATTCAAGCTCTTCTTGTGATTTCTGAAAATTTCCCAGAATTGAAATTCTCATGGTCACTGCTGTGTTCTCCTGACTTGCTTCTTGGCTGTTGGGTTCTCCCCTTGACTTACCCTCCTGTCTCCCCAGGGAACGCTGCCCCTTTTCCTTATTTTTTTTATTGAATTCTTCAAATAAGTAATTTCTAAAACTTTGAGGAGATAAGCTATGCAGACAACTTTAGATTATTATACATTCTTTTAAAAATAAATTAATTAAATTAAAATAAAATCTTTTGGTGGCACTGGCCCTGATAAGGAGCCCAGTGTCTGGCTCTCCAGCCACCTTCCATTCCCCTGTCTGCCCCTTGTAATCTTTATGGAAAGTGTTGGCCCCAGAACTTAAGGGGCTCTGTGTGTGTGTGTGTGTGTGTGTGTGTGTGTGTGTGTGTGTGTGTGTTGGATGTAAGAACTCTAACCTTAAATTATGGCAGCAGAAAAGCAGAGGTAAAACCTTCCATGTGGAGCTATAAGGAGAACCTCTGGGGTAGCATCTCCACATGCCCCCTCTATGGGCATGGCGCCCCACTCTAGGATCACATGCACCCTGCTTGTGCACATGCATGCTGCAACCAGGAACAGGAAGGACAGCAGTCTTCACTTGCTGGTGGTGTTCATGGAAACAGGGCATAAGCAAGTGTCTGATATTAAATTCCTGAAAGGTCACACACAGAAGCCCACATGCAGATAAAATAGCTGCAACCAGAGCTCTACAAAGTGGACAGAGGACCTGAGAGATTCTTCTCAGGGTTGTTTATCCCTTACATTTCTCCTCGCAGACTGCAGAGAAGGCAACAGGAGAACTCGGAGAAATAAAACGAACACTGCCTGGCTCAAATCCGTGCTCTCTTTTTGTGCCTCTGGTCGGTGCTTGTACTCAGGTGTTTGTTCTTCCAGGAAAAC